CTCAGAGCTCAGCAGCTCGCTGGCCCTCGGGCTCTTTCCACAGGATCCGCCCACACCCACCTGTGCCCCTGCAGAAAGCAGCTGTGGGGATCTCACCCAGCAGGTGAAGTGGGTAGAGCAATTCCTACTTCTTGGATGTTCATCACAGGGAGCCTCCACTCACTCATAACCAAGCTTGTCTAGATGACAGCCAGGTACAAGACACTGTGTCCAGAGCTGTGTGGGTGGGTGAAGAGTTGAATCATTCACCCTCCAGTGCATATTTCCTGAGCAATTACGGGTCAGGCACTGTGCCAGGTGCTGGGCATGGTTCCTGCCTGCTGGGAGCCCACAAAACCCGGACACAAACAACCAAACCACTGCTACACATGTGTGGTTTCTGGACCAGGAGCAGCATCCCCTGGGAGCTCATTAAACATGTGGGTTCTCAGGGCCCCGGTCCAATTGAATCAGAATCTCTAGGGGCGGAGCCAAGGAATCTGTTTTTAAAATTTTGTCAGATGATTCTTCATGTGTACAGAAATTTGAGGACCACTGGTTTGGACCACAAGGCCTTCCCCAAGCTCCCTACTTAAAGCTGCAAACCAGCGCCTGGCCTTGGCACCCCTAACCTTCTTCCTGGCTTCATTTTCTCCATAGTTGTATTGCTGTTGGTTACAATAACATCTTTTCCACCCATAGACTTATGACTTCTGAACTAATACATAAGCTCCAGAGGGCAGCAATTTGAGTTACTTTTGGTCACTGCCGTGGCATCGGTTGCCTTGTACAAAGAGATGCTCAATAATTGCTGACTGATTGACAAATGGTGGGACATGCTGAATCCCATGTTTGAGGGTAGCCTGGAGGAAGAAAGAAGGTGACTGGCCATGGAGCACTGCATGGAGAAACAGACACCAGGTTGGTCTTGAAGGATATTTGGACCAGTAATGAAGGATGCTTGAAACACAGAGATGCTAAGCCTCTTACCAGGTGATGTTCCAGGTGGTTGATACGATCATTGTGTTCATAACTGGTATGTGCCAAGAACTGTCCTAGCCTATATCACCTCATATAACACTTCCGAAGCTCCGAGGTAGGCAGTTCTGTCTTCAAGAGGACACTGAGGCTCAGATATATTAAATTATTTGTCCCACCCACAAAAAGGCTTGTATAGGAATGTTGACTGCAGCATTATTTATAATAGCTCCAGTCTGGAAACAAACCCAACATCTATCAGCAAGTGAATAGATAAACCCATTGTGTTATATCATACAATGTAGTATAACTTAGCAATAAAATGGAATAAACTACGGATATACACAACGCAATGAATCTTAAAGACACTGTGTTGAACAAAAAGCCAGACAAAAATACATATTCTGCACATAAAGTTCTAAAACTTAAATGTACTTAGTTCACTTGTATTGAACTTGAACAAAGCTTGATAACAGAAATCAGATAAGCAATGTCCTCTAGAGAGGGGAAAGGGGTACTGACCAGAAAGGAGCATGAGGGCGCTTTCTCGGGTGATGGAAGTGTTTCTATATCTGGAATGGGAGGGTGGTTACCATCGAAACCACTGTACACTTCAAATTTGCATTTTATTGTATGCAAATCATATCCCAATAAAAAATGAGCTAAGAAATCATTTGCCCTAGGTCACAAAGACACAAATGGAGACTAGAACCCAGGTTTGCCCAAACCAATGGCTAGTTTACAGGAGGCTGCCACAGTGGAGCAGGAAGGCCCGGGTTTTGCCCCAGCATGGCAAAGTGCCCTGCCAAAACCTGAAGGAAGGGTATTCACAGTTACTCTAGGGAGGGTGCCACAGTCCCCCAACCCCCAAACCACAACAGACACTTGTGAGGAGCCCAGATGAGTGTCAAGCTGGAAGTCAAGAAACTTGGGTTCGGGCCTCAGCTTTATTCTTTGCTTCTTATGTAACCTCTGAGTACATGACTCCATGACTCAGTTTCCCCTTCTGTGAAGCAAGGATGAAGGAGGGGATCAATGGTTCCCAGCATGGTGCCACAGCTCCTAGGGGCCACAGGACCACAAGCACCTGTGCCCATCAAGCTCGGTTATTACATGAAATAAGCAATGTGCCCACCTCATATCTGGTAAGCTATTTTTCAAATGCATGCTAATGTTACTGTGATTAATAAAATACACATCTATTTCAAAGCAAAAATGAAACCATAGCAGCTTTTTGCCATTGTGTATTTTCTCAAACAAAAGATACCAAAAGAACAGCCACTGCTCATGACTTTGGTTTAAAGAGGCTGGAATCTCTGTGTAGAGGATCGCTAAGGGGACAGTCGCCAAGGGAACGGTCGCCAAGGGCCCTTCCAGGTCAACTGCACAGTGATTGTCCCTCATCACTTGGGTAAATGCTTGCCCTTGTGTTTCTCAGGCCTGGGTCCCTGTGGGGACACGCCTGTTATCTGGACTCCAAAGAGCCAGCCCCCAACGCGCAGGCTATGTATGCCCTGGTCCTACAGCCCAGTCTATCGGCCTTAAGTGTGGTCACTGTTGCACCTTGGCTTCCCCCTCCATTCCTGATAGCAACCAACTGCAGGATGGAGCCTGGGCATTTCCCTCCCCAATCCCTCACCATCAGCTTCTGGTCATCACACGCCCCATCCCCCAATCACCACTATTGAAGGCCACTATCTACTTCGGATCTGCCTCTAGCAGGCCTCTGACCCACCCCTAGCTGAGCCAAGTGACTTTCTCTGCCTCACCATGCCACAGGCCTGCAGGATTGGGAAGCTTGTCTCATATCCAACTGCAAGGTCAGACCTTTCTTTCACCCATCCTAGTGGCCCAGCCGGCACCCTCTTCCACGCAGACACACCCTCAGCTCTGGGACAGGCAGAGGTTCTAGATCACAGACAGAACCCAGAAAGGCCAGTTCCTCATTCCCTGTGCCCCTCCTGGCCCTGGGTTTCACACCGATTCTTGGTGCTGAGTCAGAGCTTTACACAGCGTCAGAATAAGGCAGGGCCCTTGGCTGAGTGCCACCCTCCAAAGGCCCCCATAGGGCACTGCCCCACTAGAGAGAGGTCTACAGAAACACCACCCCCCAAAAAGAGCACTCCCTGGGCTAAGGGAACCCACCCACCCGGGAACCCATCCACCCAGACCTCGAGGTACAAATTCCCAATGCCCAGCCATGTCCCCAAACCAGAGGCTGGAGCCTTGCCAACTTCATATTTAAAAAAATAACAAGACCAAGGGCAGGAGACAGACCAGCTGCCCCCACACCTAACTGTCCATTCCTTTCTGAAGACTCCACTTGCTACTTTTAATCAATTTTCCCACTAGACTGGAAACAGCCAGAGAACCAGTCTTCTCTCGAGGCCACACACCATCCTCCTCCTTGGCTTCTAACTTTGCTGATCACGGGACAAAAGATAATCATCCCCATCCTCCGAAAGACCTCACTTGCCGCCGCCCCCCGCGCACCGCCCCCATGGTGCCCCAGGCCCCGTGGCCCCAAAACCCACGCCTTGCCCGGGGCAATCTGCGGAGGGCTGTGCGAGGCTACTCCAGGAGCCGCTCCCCAGGACCTGAGGACGCACTCAGAGGCCCAGCCCCGGAAGCCCAGCGTTTTGTGCGAGGACGCCCCTTTCCGCACCCCCACAACGAGGGGCACGACGAAAAGCCAATGGGGCGGGGTGGGGTCAAGACCCTGGGAGGCCCGCCGATCCAACCACCCGACGCGCACTCACCAGGCAGCGCCACCGAGCCCGCGCGTCTGCGCCGGGGCCGCGAGGAAACCCACGCGCGCCGTTCAATCCGGGCTCCGAGTGACGAAAAGCCGCTCTCGGCTCCAGGCGACCCGGGACGGACGCACGGACCGGCGGACGCACGGCCAGTCTCGCCCCTAACTAAGTTTGAAAGTTCCCTCAGGCCGAAGGAAGAGAGGCACAGGCAGGTGCACCTAACGGTCTGGGCTCCGCTCGGCGCGGGGAGCGGGAGTCGGACGCCTCCTGTCCTGGGCTCCAGGTACGCGAGCTTCGGTCGCGACCCGCGCAGCGCAGCGGGAGCCTGGCTGGGGGTGAGAGCGGCGATCTGGGAAAGGGAGGGCGGTGTCCCCCACTGCAGCCCAGCTCGGAGGGAACAAGCCTGGATTGGCCATTGCAAACTCGGAATCCGAGGCCCAGCCGGGCAGTGGCGGCCAATTAGTAAACGGCCCAATTAGTGCGCGGCGACGCCTGAGAAGTTAAACCCCGACGCGCGAGTGTGACTGACCCGGGGGGGGAGGGGCGGCGCGGGGGCTGCGGCTGCCCCTGAGTGACCGCGTGTGACTGTGTCGCCGTCAGAGTGATTAGTGTGTATGAGGTTCACCGTCCATGGGTGGCTGTGTGTGGCAGTGTGCGCCTGTGTGAGTCATTTTGAGTGCGCGCGTGTGACTGTCAGAACGACTTCTTTGTGTGACTGTCCCCAGTTGTGACTGGGTGTGACAGCGGATGGGGGCTTGTGACAGGGTGTGTGGCACAGTGGTGTGTGAATGGGTGACTTGTATGCGGCGGTGTGACAGGGTACGTGGGCGAGTGGCTGCGTGTCATTGTGTATAAATGACTGTCACGGTGACTTGTGTGGGACGGTAAGACAGTATGAGTAGGTGCGTGGCTGTCTGTGTGTGACAGTGGGTCAGCTTGTGAATGGATGTGAGGCTGTCAGCGGGACGTGGGTGACTGCGAGTGTCACTGTGACATCGTGTGAGCGACTGTCGGGGTGACTTCTGCCTGTGATACGAACTCAGGGCATGAGTATAACAGCCAGGATATCTGTGTGAGTGGCATGTGCCCGTCGGCGGGGCCGAGGTGTGCGTGTCCCCCAGCAGGGGCACCGCCGGTATCTCCCCCCGCGTGTCCCCGAGAGTGCCGGCGTCCTGCGCCACCAGGTGACTCCCGCCTGTGCTCCAGCCCGAGACGCTCCGGCCTCCGCGCGGGGTCCGAAGGCGCGGGCCGGCCCCGCCCGCGTAGGCCCCCACCCTGGCCCCCGCCTACCTTGCCGCAGTGGTAATAGTCCAGGTGCGCCAGGCCGGCCGGCTCGGCCCCGGGCCGCGCGCCCACCGCGGGCGCCGAGGGGTACAGGCGAACGTCCATGGCGGGCGCGGCGGCGGCGGCTCCCGCGGGCAGTGCCTGGGCGGGCGGCGGGTGGGAGTCAGTGTGAGAGCCGGTGTGCGAGCGCGGGGGGCGGGCCGGGGGCGGCGCCCGGCGGAGCGCCCCGCCCCCGCCCCCGCCCCGCCCTCGCGCGCTATTGTTCCGGCCGCGGGCGCAGCCTTGGGCCGGGGGCCCGGGCCCTGCGGGGGAGGTCCCTCCTTCGGGCCGGGTCGTCTCTGGGTCCCGGGCCAGGCTGTGCGCCCCTGGGAGGCCGGAGGGGTCGTGCGCCTGTTCAGGAGACCCTTCCCTGTCCCGCCCTTCGCCACCGAGGGTGAAAGGAGGGAGAAGCCTGTACGACACCCCTCCCCAGAAGTGGGACACTGCCCGCCCTAAATATTAAGGGCGACGATAAGCCCCACGCAGCGTCGGGGGAGAGAGAGGAAGGTGGTGACAGGAACTCTTTGGGAGACGGGTGCTGTCTTACGGGTTGTGGGGAGGGGAGGGTCCTGCTTGTCCCACTGACCTGAGTCCCTCGGGGATGGCTGCGCTTAAACTCACTTTACGTAAGAGGAAACTGAGGCAAGGACAGGACTTGTGTTGTCAGCTGTGGGGCTCCAGATGCGTGGGCTCCGCTGCCCCCAGAGTTTCCACGGCTGAAACCACAGGGAGAAAGCAGGACTCTGCCCCCTTTAAGGACAGGGACAGAGAGAGGGTCATCGGAATGGCCTATACCTGAAGCTCTGAGGCGGGGTTCAGAATCTGCCCCACCTCCTGGTATCCTGGACAGGAATGGGATGGCGACCACAGTGGGGCAAAGAGGCGACTGAAACAGGCTCCCTCACCCCCACACCCACAAAAGCTCCTTCATTCCTCACATCACCTGCTGGCAGCTGGCCTGTTGCTCCTCCCCTTTTCACCCAAGAACTGTCTACACCAGAGGCCTCTCTGCTCTTTTACCTCCTATTGGCTGCTCCACCACTGTCCTCCGGTTCCTGGCTCTCCCACACCCAGGATGTCTGGCTGGGAAGGGCCAAGAGGCCAGGAGGCAGAAGTGGGTCAGAATGGAGCATGGGATGCTATTTGGAGAGAAGGGAGTGATCCTTTTGCTCACTCAGGAGCCTGCTTGGAACTTAGCTCCCAGCTGCTTGGGCTGTGCTGGTCCTGCACTAAAAACCACTATTTGTGATGTGAACATAAAAGGGGCTACATAGCAGACCTGACAGGCGCAGTGACGGAACGTAACCACCCAGGATGGTGTGATCGTAAATTCCTAACTGATCAGATTATGGTGGGTAGTCACGTTTCAGACCCATTGCTTCCTTAGTAAGGTCAGTCTTTACCCTAAGCAAGCCCTGTCCATTGTTATGCATCTAGGATGACATATCTTTAATATGTCAGAGTAATTTTCGTTTCCAGATCTCCCAGAGGCACACAGCCACCAGCACCAGAACACAAAACTATGTGAGACGCCTCATTGCAATCTTGTCGCCCACACACCAACTCTATTTACTGTAATTGTTGAACGTAAGCTATCCTGTATCCAGCAATGTAAAAGAAGCATGTATCTCTCCATTTTACTTTTTATCCAATCCTAGAGATTTCCCCACTTTGCTTTCTTCCACTTCCTTAAGCTATTGTACTACCAACAGACTTTATGTAATTTTCCTTACATTCTCTCCTTTGATTCTAAATGCATCAAAAGAACTGCAAGCCTGCCGTTCTCCAAAGCATTTTCTTAATACTTTGAGATTTTGCTTCTGGGTCAGACTTCAGATTTGGCTCAAATAAACTCTTACAAGATTTTTCTGTAGTTTTGGACTTTATTTTGTCAACAGTGACCATAAGGATCCATTAATACAAGATATGTGTGAGAAACGCTTTCGCTAAAGGTTTGAGAACAACAGAGGGAAATTACAGCTCAGAAAGGAAAGAACTTCTAAATAAATGTCAGCAGTCATTGTTTCTAGAAATACAGTGCCATATCTCATCAGAAGGAATTTCCCACTGGCCCCTTTCCTTTTTTTCCAACTGACCCAGCACTATTTATTGAAAAGATCGCTCCCCCTCCAATTCCTCTGCAGTGTTAACTTTGTCATAAATCAAGCAGTTCGTATGTGCACGAGACTGTTTCTGAATTCTCTAGTCTGTTCCATCAGCCTGTTTTTCTCTCCTTGTGCCATTTTCGCACTGTCTGGATTACTGTAGCTTTTGAATGTTTTGATGCCCTATAGAAAAGTGTACCTGCTTTTTTTCTTCAAAAGTGCCTTGACTATTTTTGACCTTTGCACTTCCATAGAAGTTTTAAAATCAGTTTGTCTGTTTACACACACACACACACACACACACACACACACACAATCCTGCTGGAATTTTTATTGCTATCACTTTGAATTTTTAGATCAATTTGGGTAGAATTGGCATTTTCAGTATTGCCTTTCTATCCATAAACATGGTATGTCCATTCATTTGTTTGGGGTTTGTTGTTTCTTTTTTAAGTTCTCTCTGCAATGTTTTGTAGTTTTCTACATAGAGATCTTGTGCATCTTTTATTAGATTTAGTCCTGGGTTTTATGGTTCTGGTACTATTACAAATGGTTTCTTTATATGGTATTGTGTTTGTTGCCAGTACGGCATGATGGTTTTAAAACAAGTCAACAAATTCTTTGATACTCCCTCCAAGGGGTGGAGTCTAATAATCTTTAAAAAGTTTGGTCTTAATGAATTTTTTTCTTCTTTAACAAAAAGAATATGGCAGAAGTGACGGTGCATGACTTCTGACTCGTCATCAAGAAAGTCGATGTATCTTCTGCCTGACTCCCTCTCTTGGGACATTTGTCTTTAAAGCCCTAAGCCACTATGCAGAGACCCTAAGACAAAATAAAAAGGAAGATGACCAGGGGCCAGCTCCCTGCTGTTCCAGCTCCGTCCATTTTCTGATTGCAACTACATGAAAAACCCAGAAACATCCAGCTGAGCTCTTCCTGAATCAAAAGCACAGAAATCATGAGAGATAATAATTATTGTTATTTTAATTCATGAAGTTTTAGGGTGATTTGTCACTTAGCAATATAGGTCTGGAACGTATGTCAAAGTATATTTTGTATATGCCCATGTATCTAGCAACATTACCAAACTTAGTTATTCTAACAGTCTGTAGATTCTTTGGCTTTTGAAAAATATATACCATGTTCTGTCTCATCTATAAAAATGAGAGTTTTAATTTTTCCTTTTCTGCCCTTATACATTTTATTTAATTTTCTTGGCTTGTTGCACTAGCTAGTATTGCCAGTACAATTTTGGAAAGAAGTAATGATAGCAGGCATCCTTGTCTCATTCCTGATCTCAGAAGAAAACCTATCAATATTTCACCATAAATATAGTGCTTGCTGTAACATTGTGAGGTTTTTATTTTGTGGGGTTTTTTTTTTCCATTTCATTTTCTTTTGTTTTCTGTAGATGTCTTCCCTCTTGTGAGTTGGGGAGGTCAATCTTCACAGCAATCCTCTGGGTCAGGAAATAGGACTGCTGTGGCCATTTTACTGATGAGATAAATGAGACCCAGGGAGGAATGCTCAATATCACAGTGTTAACAGCAGGACTAATTAGCAATTCCTAAGCCTGAGAGTCCTGCATGGAGCATAGCACTGAGGAGGTCTCTGGGAAGCCTGTCAGTGAATCCCAGCAGGGAAGCTATGCAAACCTCAAATAATGGGCTTGACCTTTCATGGGAACAGTTGATCAGATGGGAGGTTGATGACTCAGTTCTCCCAAACACACACCCAGCTGCATTTCTTGTCCTCGGGATGAGGGTAGGGCTTGAGCCCTTCTCTCATCCTCTTGACCCCATGAGGAGTCTGTGAGAGGGGAGTCTCAGATCTCAGCCAATGACCAGTGGGCTTGGGTCATGGCCTTCCTGCAGAACCCAGTTTGGGGACCCAAAGTACCTGCTTGCTCATTTTTCCAGTTCTCAGCTTCTGGTATCAAAAATAGCTGAGATATCAAAATATAGAAATATCTAAATATGTTCTATTATTATTTAGGGATGGCAAGGCAAACAGATCAGGAGACAATTGCCATGGAAAAGCTAGTTTGTTAGAGTTCCAAAGAGGAGGGGCATGCCATACCCGGAGGACACCAGGATCAGTCAGGTCAGAGGGCGGAATTGTGGGAAAGAGCATTTACTGTGGTTTCTGCAGGAACTAATGGGCGAGGCAGAGTAAGCAGACTTAAGGTTGGCTAGTTTGAATAATCTCTGCAGGCTCTAAGGGGCTGTCCCTAGTTGTCTGGCCCCCGACCCCCAGTGATCAGGATAGGTGGCCTGGAGTGTGAGAGCTGGATCAAGGAGGTGGTTGCTGGTGTGGGCTCCGGATTGGTTTGTTTACATTTGAAAAGCACATACACAGGAGAGTTGTTTATTTTCTCTAGGCATTTGCTAACCCTAGGAGGAGCAGTCCTTCCAGAGTCTGTAAGACGCCAGATAGCAAAGCATCAAATACAGAAAAAACATGGTTAATACAAGATGTGCCCCCTTACCCATGGGTCCTACATCAACTATGGCCTCTTACCTGGGAAAGTCTTGGCTCTAATCAAAATGACCAACTCCCAAAGAACAGCTGTGGCAGATACCCTAAAAGCCCTACTGTCGGAGTCCTTAGGTCTGATCAAGAATGGCCTGCATCCTGCTAGAATTGTGCTTCTCCCACTTGAACTTAGGTATGACCGTGTGACTTGTTTTAGCCAAGGGAACATGAGCAGATGTGGCATGTGTCACTTCCAGGCAGAAGATTTAAGGGTCTGGGTATACTTAACCCCATTCTCTTTTCTTTTAATGCCAGCAAATTCTAACTCATTCTTTAAGACCCAATTCAAACAACACCTCTTTGGTGAGGACTTCTCCAAGACTCCAACTCAGTGCTCTTGTTTGTTGCCTCAGTAACCGTCTGTACATAGGACTATGAGTGTCAATTCTGCCAAACCATAATAACACATTTGCCCTATGAGTA